GGAATCCAGAGAGAGTCCCTGACCTCATAATTGATTCAGGAAAGGAAATTCTTCTTCTCCTCCTCCTCCTCCTCCTCCTCCTCCTTCTTCTTCTTTTTAGGAGAGATTTTTGCTAGAAGGCATGTGCACTCACTGGAAAGATAGAGAGACAGAAAGCAAGAAATCACCTCCCAGGGGGAGAACCCATGCCACAATCTCTTCTTCATCTCCTCTTTGGATTTTGGGCATGCACGCATATGTACCTGGTATGAGGTTTAAGCCACCAGGTCCAGGAGTCAAACCACAGTTGACTATGTGGGAGTCCAACAACATAACCATTATGCCATCTGCTGCCCCCCAGGAAGGATATCCTGCACAATATAAGGAAATGGGTAGCTTTCACTCCAAACTTGGCCAGTTAGGTCCAGGGGCTTTGTTTTATGTGATTGTTCCATGGATTCTTTGGTTTTTAAGACCAAAAATATACTGATAGGATGATAAAGGACATTGTCAAAGCAAAATTTTAAGAGTTGACATAAAGAATAGAAGAAAACAAACTAAATGGACATTTAATTTTTCAAGTAAAATTCTTTGGCCATAAGATGAAAAAGGGACAAATTTAATATCTTCTTGAATTTCTTCTGAAAATCCCAAAATGCTAAAACGTCTTAAAGGTTATTTTGTCAGAACAGAAGAAAGGTTTAAAAACCACCAAATAAACTGATGTAACATACTGTGTTGTTGGAAAAGTCATGACACATTTTTGCATAGAAAAAATATGCCATGACTTTTTTTTATGCAAAAATGTGTCATGACTTTTCTGACAACCCAATACATATTTTTAAGGCATTTGTTTGTGTACATAAGACCTATCCCATGCTTTCATTTTGAGATATTTTCCTCTGCCTAGTGGATAGATGAATTTTCAATGGCTCCACCCAAGACTAATACTAGAACAAACAGGAACCAGCACTTAAACTCAGTCCTTAGAGTACTAGTGAGTTTCTTCTCAATTCTGTTATCTGTCCAATGAGCCAACAGGTGCAAATGTCTAGTGACTAATTACTTGACTGGTGGGACCAGCAGTTGGCGTAATGGCTATGTTGCTGGACCCCCATGTAGTTGACCACAGTTTGAGTCCTGGACATGGTGGCTTAAAGTCACCGGGCATGTGTGCTTGTGTGCCCAAGATCCTGAGAGGAGAATGGAGAGAAGGGATTGCGACATGGCCATCCCCCCGGGGGGATGATTTCTTGGTTTCTGTCTCTCTAGAGAGCACACACACCCTATAGCAAAAACCTCAAAAATAATAATAATAATAATTTTTTTTAATTACTTGACTGGTTTCTGAACTAGAAGATGATTAATGATCGTTTCATGATCAGAATCCAAATCTTTTGTATCTGCATTTCTTTCTTCCAGTCAGTGAGGGCCATGTTTGTTCATTGCATGAGCTTTCTCATGAGATGGTACCTATAAGCACTTGTTCTGTGCTTAGCCCACAGTAAGGACTCAAAAGGGGTAGCTACCTCTGTCCTGCTGCAAGACATCTTCTGCTTTCTTTACAATTGAAGTGTAGATCCAGGTCAAAAGACATCGTGGACAAAAAAGATGTTGCGACCTTTCAGTGTATGCCAGCCACGAATGTCTGCGATTTGCTTGCTACTTCCAAGAATGGTTCGGTGAGGGTGCCTAAGCATCAGCATGTGAATATTCAGAATGAGTTGAGTTGGCAGTGTTCAAGTTTTTGCTGCTGATGTTGATATCACACTAATGGTATTCATCACAGAAAAGTCCTGCCCCCTTGTATACAGATGCCTCCTCCATAGTACCCACCCATGAGCAGAGAGGTAGTGACGAAGAGGACTATTTTGAGGACTACTCACCCTGCAGTCCCCACCCCTTGTGGAGGGAGGCATTGGCATCTAAAAGACACAGCGCTCCAGCCAGACTGCCTGGATCTGAGCCCCCACTCCATACTGACTGCCCATGTTACCCCACACAAATCACATAATCTCTCTTTACCTCAGTTTCCTCCTTTGTAAATTCTTCCCTGTCTTGTGAGGTTGTGATAAGAATTAAGTACAGTGTTTTCAGAAGAGCCTGTCAGCGAAAATTTCCTCAGTGGTTATGAGTTGTTACCCTTTTTACAACCAGCTGCAGGGCTGCTGGCTGAGACCGCCTGCCCTGACCTCAGCTGGCCTCCTACATAGACATTTTCTTTACATCAGGCATTCATTCCTCCTTCAAGAATTCAGCCTTTTCTCTCCTTTATAGCTAATAGCACAAAGCTTCTTCTCTGCATGTCCAAGAGTGGTAATTGATATTCTGAAAACAGTCTCTGTAGGTTGGCTGGTCTCTCTGCCTGTTCCGTATGGTCTCAGCTTGATCTGAGTAAGGATGCCTCATCCCAGGGGTGGCACTTGACTTGGATGGGAGGCTGGAGCCCACCATAGATGACCTGTGCTGTCTTTCAAAGGCAAGAACAGAGCATGCTAAGAGGATAAGATGGTCTCATAAAGTTTAAAGGAAATTGCCTCTTGAACCAGCTAAAAAAACAGCTTTGACCAGATGCCTCTCCATACTTTCCTCCTTTGACTTATGAGCCCAGAGCCTGACCCATTGACTGCAAAAGGTTTGACAATAGACAGCCATTTCTTATCAGCATTGCCATAAGTAGAAATAGGGAGAGAGAGAAAGAGTGACAGAGATTATTTTTCCAGGCACAGTTACATTTTATATATAATCCTAACAATTACACTGAGAGAGAGATTATTATTTCTATTACACACATGAAAAAACAGATCTGCAAATACTAAGTGATCTGCCCAAAGTCACACAGCTTGAGGCTGAGCCCAGAGTAAAATCCAAGTTTCTCTGATTTAAGTCCCCATATTTAACCCAGATATGCCTGAGTATGGGAATTACTTGGAGGGTGAGCAAAAGGCTCTGGGGTTCAGGGATAATGCGCTGCTCACGTGGTGCTAGATCTGAATGGAAGATTTCAGGTTCTGTTCCTGGGTCAACCTACAAATGCCAGGCATGCACATGCCCATGATCCTGCCTGCCTGGAAGGCTAGTAAATCATGGCATGAGACCTTTTCCTTTTCTCTGTCTCTATTTCTCTGTTCCTTACCATAATTTTTTAAAAATTAAAATAAATAAAAAAGAGTTACCTAGAGTGGTTGTTAAAAATAGATTATCTGGCCCAGCCACAGCAGTACAGTGGTCATGCAGTGGTCTGTGAGGCTAGAAGCTTAGAGAGGAAGGGGGCTCTGGGCATAGAGGTCAAGGTGGTTGATTACCATATGGCAGTTGTGTGGTTCGAGTCCCAGAACCAGTGGCATAAAAATCACACCAGGCGTATGTTCACACATGTCCAAAATTCTAAGAGGAGAATGAAGAGAAGGGATTCTGGTGTGTCCATCCCCCCAGGAGGTGCTTTCTCACTTTCTCTCTCTCTCTGTCTCTCTCTGGAGAGTGCAGACATTTTATACCAAATTAAAAATAATAAATCCGGGTTCAGTTCCCAGGTCCATTTGTACATGCCATGTATGCATGTTCCTGTTCCCAGCAGGCTGGCTGGGAAAGCTGTGGAGAGGACGCAGCATGAGATCCTATTGAGGGTACTTTGTCTTTAAAATTTTAACAAATAGATTGGGCTACATCTCACACATTGGATCGCCAAACAAGAGGCTGGGCAGTATGTTTCTTTAACAAGTGTCCCATATGACTGGTGTTCAGGGAAAATGTCCTACACCCTGGCTTCTAACCACAGCTGTTGACAGTCGTGGGAGCAGGAGGCACACCAGTGGCCAACCCCCAGTGTGCAGGTGGGTTCTTCCCCAAGTTCTGTCTTCAAGAAAGCACTTAACCCCAGGGAACCAGCAGTTAGCGTAATGGCTATGTCGCTGGACTCGCACGTAGTCAACCATGGTTCACGTCCCGGACCCGGTGGCTTAAACTCATGCCGGGCGCATGTGCGTGCGTGCCCAAGATCCCAAGAGGACAATGGAGGAGAAGGGATTGCGGTGTGACCATCCCCCCTGGGGGGTGATTTCTCGCTTTCTGTCTCTCTGTCTCTATCTGTCTGGCGAGCGCATGCACCCTATAGCAAAATCCTCTCCAAAAAAAAAAATAGTGAGTCCATAACAATAGTAGATATTAGATTCAAGCAGAATATCAGACCCCAAGTTCCAGGGATATTAAAACAAAATATCAGACCCCAAATCAGCCATGTTGCCATATGAGATCCCAACACGCACACGTGGGTTGGCATTGCAGACATAGCAAAACAAGAAAAATAATTGTGTCAGAGCAGAATTATGGGTAGTTTCTTCTTTATTTAACATAAAATTAATCATTGATATGAAAAAATCATATAATAAGAAAAAAAAACAGAAAAATTTCACATTTAAAAAATTACCTGGACTTTAGATTCAAGATTTTTATTGCTGTAAGTTTTGGGTTTTGTTTTCATTTGCAAGCCTTGATAGTTTCTGGTCCCTCTCATAAAGGGAGAGAAAGAAGTTTGAGTGGCAAGAAATCCACCTGCATGCCCTCTTCTCCTCATTGAGTTACAGAACATCCCCATCCTTCACAGATGAGGACCAGGGCACCAGGAGACTTCCAGGAGTGGTGGTGAATTTGCTCCGAGCCCTCTTAACTTCCTTCCCCAACTCCTTTCCTGTGTGTGTGGGAGAGAAGGGGTGGAGGAGTGGGCTGCTGTTCAGGCATAATGCTGCCAGGAGGGCAGCCATCCAGATGAAAGAAAAATGAACCTGGAACTTTCTGCCCATTCACCTCATGCTCCATCCCATCTTGAACCATCAGTGGTTCGAGAGACAGTATCATCCTATTCAGTGTTTTCTGTATACTCCTTGTATAAGGACATTACTTGACAGCCAAGCAGAAAACTAAATGCAGACTGTGTTACTGGGAAAGCACGTCCTTATCCAACCCGTTGCATCCTTTAAGATGAGTTCCTTTTCCCAAAGTGACTGTTTCTTCCTTTTCAACAGATATCTGCAAACGAAATCGAAATGCTTCTGATGAGGCTGCCACGCATGTTCAAACAGGAATTCACAGGTGTAGGAGCCACGCTAGAAAAAAGATGGAAGTTGTGTGCCTTTGAAGGAATTAAAACTACCTAACTGTGAAGAAAGGGGGAAAAAAACCCTCTGGAAATGAGACCGTCTGCACCCGGCCAGAGCTCTGCAGTGTGGGAGCAGGAAGTTTGGGGTTGGTCCAGTCGGAACCCTGGTGGAGCCATCAAAGCCTGACTGTAGTTACAAATCTGTGGTGTTCTCTTGTGAGTGGAAATGTGATTGTGAACCAGTTCCTTAAGATAAGCAAAGCTTCCTACTGTGACAGATCTGTTTCCTATGAAAACCAGACAAGAACTCCACAGTCATAATGGCAGCAAAAGCTTAAAATACACTACATTTGAGAAGCTCACCAAGCAAAATATTTAAAGCTAAGGATGGCATAGCAATGGTTGTTGCTAGGCTATAGAGTTGTGTATGTAATGTATAGCTAACATCATTAAATAACATTTTCCTGAAAATCTTCTGTTTTAGTAAAAAAAAAAAAAAAGAGAGAGAGAGAGAGAAAAGGAAAGAAAAAAGAAAAAAAATTCAACACACAGTAATTTTACAATGAGGATAAATCATACCAAAAGGAAACTTGAATATGTGTCTGAATGGTTATTGTATTTTGTAAATTACGTTATATGCTGTTCCAGGGACTTTTGCCTTATTGAAGAGGCAGAAAAAATGATTGGACTCCTTGAGAATGCTTTATCAAGAATATTATTTTTCTAATGTAACAATTCTCCATCATAAGTTCTTTTACCATGGACTGCATAACAATTTTCATAAAATGTAAATAAAGGAAAAACTAGTGCTACTGTCTTGTACTTGGTATGAAACATTCAGGTTTATGCATCAAAATAAACATTCAGTAAATATTCCTGTTACAAATTTTATAGCAAAGATATTAATTTTTTTCAATAAATATGACTTCTACCATATTGGTTTTGCAAATTATTATTTAATATGTTTCATTCTTCCTTAAACCTTTTTCTCATTATTCAGTCTCATCTTGTAGCCTACCATTTTAAAATTATTAAATTCAGGGGTGACATAGGACATAATACATTATTTCAGGTAGGAATATATAAAAATTGTGGAGTAGAAAGAACCAAGAAAGGAGATTCTATAGGATTACAGTAGCTACTGTTTCAAAGACATAGCATACAGATATGATAAATGTTACCTGTATTTTGTGTTCTCAAGGACAAAGTGGCCTTTACTCTTATTAACTCCTGGATTTATTTATCTGTATGTTTCCTGGAATATATACAAGTTTAAAAAAATTTTAAATTCACATTTGGACCAATGTAGATAGAATTTGAATTTCTCCTCTTTTAATAGCCAGTAGGATATAGCTTTAAATCATCTCCCCTTTTTGCTTTCTTACTTAAGAATCTCAAAAAAAGACAAGTATTCAAGATATTAATTTTAAATGAAACTTTAGTTAGATAGCTGAATCGTGAATGTTCTTTGAAGTTATGAAAAGATATTCATAATTTCCTATTAGACATTATTCTCCCTAGGTTCTTTTTATTGAGCTCTAATACTTAAGATACTTATTTCTACCTTCCATAAACATCTGCATCTGTGTTTCGTTCAAGCTTAGTGCTAGCACTATGAATATGGAGGTGCAGAAGGAAAGGCCCTCTCTTTCATGTGCTCAGAGTTTAGTGGGGAAAGGACATTTTCCCAAAAAATTATATGTGATATGATCCAGGTGACAGGAAAGCTATGACAAGGTGCTGTGAGATTCAGAAACAAAGCAGCATTATCATATTAGACACTAGAGGCTTTCTTTTGCTGTCAGTCCCCACTACTACCATCACCCCGACAGATTTATCTCCAAGTCAGGAGATACAGAATAGGGAAGGAGAAGAGATCACCTATACTGTTATTGGAGAATAGAAAACTTAAGAAGCTCACCTAAAAGACAATGGGAAAAAATAATTCAGCAAATGGCTATTTATAAAGACAAAGTCTAGCAGGGACACCAGGGAAGGTAGCACAAGGCTATGCTATTTCTATTGAAAGTGTTGCAGATATTTTCAAACGTGCATTTATACTTCTAAGTATTTACTGGAATCACTTTAGCATAAGGATATACTGCACAGGGTAAAACCTTTACTCGGAGCTCTGTACTCACACAGGTGTGCTTGGGAAGAGAAGTTGGACGGCCTTCATATTAGATCAAAAAAGAAAAAGCCATATCCTGAGCACAAGGATCTGAGCCCTAAATGGGAACCTCTGAGGAATGAAGTGGTTAATTCAGCTTCCAAAAATATTTGAATAATTCCTAGAGCTAAGCTGATGTACAAGGAGAATCTATTTTGGCAGTGACATTTTTATTTATACTTAAAATTAATTATATATTGATTTAAAATTATATATTTTAACTTCAATTATATGAGTAACTGCTTAAAAAAATTTGCTGTAGGATGCATGCACTCACCAGAAAGAGGAAGAGAAGGTGAAAAAGCATTCCCAGGAGGAATGGCCATGCCATTTTCCCTTATCCTCCGTTTTCCCCGCAGGAATTTGATTGCACAAACACACACACACAACCAGTGTGCTTTTCAAGCCTCCAGTCCCAGGACTCACATTGTACAGTCAGCCATGTGGGATCCACCACGAGCTGACCCAATAATTTACTAAGAAAAAAAAATTACCTCCAAATTATTGCACAGACTTAGGTTTGGGTGGGGTTTAAGAGAATACCTTGGGTCACCTAAGTGACACCATGGTGACATACTCACTGCTCATGTGATGCTGGCTCCATACAGGAGATCATGGACTTGGTTTCCACGTCTGCCTGTACACACGAGTGTATGTGCCCACCATCCTGGCTGACTGGAAGGGCTACAGGGAAGGAAGATTGCCATGTGAGACCCTATTGAGAGTGCTTCTCTGTTTCTGTCTGTCTCTCACATTCACGAAACAAGTAAGTTTTAAATAAAGAGATCACCTGAGAAAGAAACTAACATTGGTGCTTACAAGGGCAATCTGGAGTCTCCATACATCTGTCACCCCACCCTCTTCAATCCTCCTGTTAATTTGATGTGAAGGTAGTATAATTTCGCCCCACTTGTCACTCAAGGAAAATCATCTTGGAAGTTTTAAGCTGTTTGGTCAGCTTTGCCATTTGCATTTTGAATCCAATATTTGAACTTAAAGCTGACTCTAAAATATGTTCTTCTTTGGTCATATTTCTAGTTCAGTTCATCCGCTCTCCTCTCTTGAGCCCAATACCCATTCAGTACCTAGATCATCACTTTCATTCTTCATTCTCCACCATTTCTTTTATGTGGTTGGAGGTGTGAAGACTCTTCAGTCCTTTCTTTAATCTATCTAGTAACAAAACATGATTTTTGCCCAAGGAGAAGCAAAATATTGAAGGTTTGAAGATCCTTTTGACCTGACCCCAAAGGGTCTTTCTAGCTTGCCTTTTCACTGCATCACTGAATAGGACTGGCTTTTTTTTTTTCCTGCTTTTGTCTTTTATATCCAAATTAAATAGACTTATACCTGGTAGTCACAACTCTTTACAGCTTTATATGGGAAAATGTAAAGTCCTCCATCCTCCATAGAGTTTCTCCCCATGCCCCAGAGAAGTAATTTCTCCTGCATGTGCATGGCCAACCACACTGGCTGTTTCTTAAGGAAATGATTACCATCCTGGCTTTATTCCCTAATAGACTTCAAGATTTTTGAGGGACCCAAACACATCTCATTCATTTTGAATTATTTCCCAAAGTTTTTCTTATAAATACTTAGAAAGTAGGACAGAGAATGAACCAAGAAGATGTTTCTCTGCCTCCAGGGACCAGTTTGCTTGCACATACACAGAGGGGAAGTATTACAATATATTTGAAAAGGCTGCAAATATCTTAGATCCACAATTCTAAGGCCAGTAATGTGAGTAATAATGTATTGCATATTACAGAAATACAAATAACACAATTCTTGCTCAAATTTCAAAACCAGACCAACTGCCAACTCTTCCACAAGCCCTGATTTCTTCAAAAACTCCTCTTCTGTGTTCCCATTTTATGTATTATATTTCTACTACAAACCCTTTTACTTCTTTTTAGTAATTGGTGAATGTAGCTGTCCCTCCCAGTGCTATCTTGCAGAAGACCACTATTACTCATCCTCTGGTCCTTCAGTCTGATATTATATATACTTGCTTTCTGTTTGGTTCTTTTAATTTGCTTGAGGGTATATGTGCTCACTGGGGAGAATTAAAGAGCATTAGATGGGAAATGAGAAAGCAGCCCCAATGAAGGATAGCCATACATGATCCTTTCTCCTCCATGTCTCTTTTCAGAATTTTGGGCATTGGAACCAGCAGTTAGCATAATGGCTATGTCGCTGGACTCCCACGTGGTCGACTGTGGTTCGAGTCCCAGACCTGGTGGCTTAAACTCACACCAGGCACGTATGCGTGTGTGCCCAAGATCCCAAGAGGAGAATGGAGAAGGGATTGCGGTGTGGCCATCCACCCTGGAGGGCGATTTCTTGCTTTCTATCTCTCTATCTCTCTGTCTGTCTGGTGAGTGCACGTGGCCTATAGCAAAAACCTCTCCAAAAAATAAAAAAAGAATTTTGAGTGTGCATGCATACCCACTTGGCACATCCACTCAAAACTTATACTGCACAGTTGGCCATGTGGGATGCAGTCACCTTAACCATTGCACCACCAGCTGACCCACATCTTCACTTTTAAATAAATATTTAGCAAATTAATGAACCAAATAAATAATAAAAAAAGAACCCATAGAGGAATTTCCTGAAATTGTTGAATCAGCACATATTCAGGAATTAAGTACAATAATAGATGATAGAATTTTCTGCCTCTCAATTGTAGTATCTTAGCAGAACTCTTACCTTCTTTATTAATTTTAATTTTTTATTGTGGTAGAAATATGTATAGTAGGGAATAGTAGATGGCTTAATGGTTACATCACTGGACTCCCACATAGTTGGCTGCACTTCGAGTCCCAGACCCGGTGGCTTAAAACTCATGCCAGGCATGTGTAAGTGCATGCACAAAATCCCAAGAGGAAAAGAGAGGAGAAAGGATTGTGGTGTGGCCAACCACAACATCACCTGAGGGGTGATTTCTCACTTTCTGTCTCTCTGTCTCTCTGGCAAGTACATGTGCTCTATAGCGAAAATCTCTCTAAAAAATTTATATATAGAAAAAAAAATTTATATATAGTCTATTACTTATTGTTTTAACCATTCATAATTGTACAGTGTACTGACATTAAATACATTCACATTGTTATGTAACCAATCAACACTGTATATAGATACAAATATACATATACGTATGCCTATACACACACAAACCCAAAACGTTTTCATTATACCCCAATGAAAACTCTGTACACCTTAAACAATAACTCCCCTATCTACCCTACCCTTTCCAGTGCCTGGTAACATCTGTTCCATTATTTTGTATCTCTATGAATTTGCCTATTCTAGGTATCACATATAAGTGGAAACATACAGCATTTGACCTTCTGTGTCTGGCTTCTTTCATGTACCGTAATGCCTTCAAGTTTCATTCATACTGTGGCATGTGTCAGAACTTCATCCCTTTTCAAGGCTGAATAATATTCTATTTTATGAGAATTCTTTTTGGCTTAGGTATCTTTTACCCATTCCAGCAAGGAAAAGTCATTGATCTGTGTATGAAAATACTTAAATGCCACACTGAAAACAGCACGTGAAAGTCTAGAGAAGCGTATTTCTATCTGGATAAACTTTATTTCTATTGAGGGTGATAAAAAAAATGTAATGAGAAAAGTAAAATAAGTTGGTAGTAATTGTATAGAAGACAAGACAGATTAAATAAAATGTCCATGCAACAAAATGTAATATATGACCAGGTGTTTTTTCTTGGTAAGTGTTGGGAATGTTTCATTTTGAAGGT